AAAGTGAAAATAAATATGTTTTATGTGTTCTATATGTTATATAATAAAATATCTTAAACAACATTTCAGTAATATTGTCTTTCAAAAAAATTTTATTTTTGGCTTAGTAAAATTAATTCTTCAATATATGTAATATCACAATCACAACATACTATAATTAAGTACGATTATTTTAACAATTTAATTGCAAACATTTTATTTATGTTACTAAAAAATTGAGTTTAAGGAAATAAAAACACTTTGTAGATAACCTTTAAAGAAAAGAAATTATTTTAAATAAGCTTAAATAATAAATTCATTGAAGATTATAATATTCACTCGAAAAAAGATTTTTTTTTTTATAATTTTGTAAAATGGCATAACAGTTTACGCCACTAAGTCATTACTTTATAATTTTTATCGATATATACATACAAGTTTTGAATCTATGAAAGCATCATACATTGATCAAAATTATATCGATTCAATACTTTCTCACGTTTATTCAAATAATTAATATACAATTACCAATCAGTGTATATTGTTTTATTTAAAAAAGATTTAGACATTTTAAATCAAGATAAAATAATGACATTTAAATTTATTTTAAAAATTCAATTATGATTAGAAATAAAAAAATGAATGATCAATAATGAAAGGAGTTTTTTTGAAAATGCCCACAGAGTTATGAACATAATAGCAAAATTAATTCTATAAAACTGGAGAGAGATTTTATTTTAAAACCCCTCAATGTTCATTAATTTTGTTTATTTAGTTTTTCGGTATCCCCTGTGCAAATTTTTTTTTATAACTTAATAAGAGATCAAAATAAAATTCAATGGAAATTGTGATAAATATTTATTATAATCAAATTTACAAAAGCTCGTTTATAAAAATATCAGATTTAATTCTAGCTATACATTTCATGTTGCTTAAATTTAATGAATATTTTTTTCAATTTGTGAAAATAAACAAAACAACATTCTATAGTGCTGTTCATATAAGTAAATGTTGCATAATAGTCGCTTAAACAGACACCTTTAAAAAATTTCATTAATTCGCTTTAACAATACCTTTTCCAGCCATCATTTTTTTTCTTTCACTAAATCTATAAATCAGTGATAACACTTTAGCGGAACACCATCATAAAATTAATAGCACATTTCTATTACACACACATCAACATATATGCATATTTTATGTATGCATATTTATATACATATTTATGCATGCATATTTATCTATGCATATTTTATGTACGCATATTTTATGTATGCATATTTATATATGCATATTTTATGTATACATATTTATATATGCATATTTTATGTATACATTTTTATATACATATTTATCTATGCATATTTATCTATGCATATTATATATAGATATCAATTGGACACCTGAATAATTACAATTTCTCTAAACTCACGGAACACTAGCGTACAGCATAATGTCGGTTAATAATCACTACTGCACCAAATTTTACAATTAAAAACCGCCATTCATTAGACGAGGCTTCTCTACCTGCTTATTAAAATTAACACAAATTGCATACACTGCTGTTGATTGCTATGTTTACTCTTGTAAGTGCAGATTTAATTAAAAACAGAGTTCAGTAAAACAGAATCTATTTATTATAAATTAATATCAAGAAATAAAACAGCATCGCTAGTTTGCGATCAACAACATAACACCAGGCATAACGACAGAGTTCAACGAAAGAACCAACAAGAACTATACCAGTTTCGTATGCAGTGGATAATATATTGTTACATTAATTTGATAAGAATAAAAAGCATTTCTCTTTAAAAACAGCCTCATGTTTTCAAAAAGTACTTGTGCATCTTTAAAAAATTTGCGTCTCTTTACAAAATTACATGCATAAAGAGCCAAAATCTGAACGAAGTTATAAAAAATGTACTAGTCGGAGACTTGTAGCGCTTCTGTACAACAGCGTAATTAAATGTACGAAAGATTAAATTGCCCTCACTATTATGGTCCAACTTGAGGTACGGTTGCAGATAATAAGTGGTTTAAAGGGCACCAATATTTTTAACAGCATAAAATCTTCTCATTATACCGATGATAATTCTCAGAATAAAACCTTCCTGACTGCAAGAAAGATTTTTATTCACACCTGAAATCGGGTATTGTTGAAGAGTGTTAAGGAAAGGGGATCAATGCACCGGTAGAAAAACATCCGGGGTATTAATGCCGTTACCACATTGTTACGTCCATTGCGCCATGACCTGACCATTCATTTAATTCAGAAGTTGAGAATCACACAAAAACTAATAGGATCCAACAGAAAAGGCGAAGATGACCGGATGGCTCCTACTATAACTGAGGAGAAATTATACCTCTTTATACGTAAACGGAGAAAGGAAATGCATTTCAAGATTTATTAGTTTGAATGTTATGACAGAATTTGAAAGCTAAGGAGTTTAAATCTGATATAAGGCTTTGGTATCACGTTTTCAGGAACATGAATATAACTTCTTCTAATTCAGCTTTATTGAACATTTTCTGTTCAATTAAGATGCATGCAAATTATATGTTTAATTTAATACCAAGTAATTACAAAATAAATTTCTTTTAACAAGTAAAATTATCTGGGTTTTTTTAATTGGTAGAATAGCATGCAAAATAACTAATTACATTTCTCTGGCGCGAAATTTAATGTCAAAAAACTGGGCACTATGGATTTCTTCTCGATTTTCAGACTTAATACTGGTGACTCAGGAGATAAATGCAATTTGAAATAGTAGAACACAGTTTAAATATTTCGAAAATACCGAAAACAGTACTACAATTTTAACAAAACCTAATACACTGAGAAAAAAAAATATGATCTAAGCCACTTGAATATGGTAGAATTAACCAAGTTTCTGGCTGGATGGAAACACTAAAAAGCTTGGTAATTTTTACTGAATCGTTTCAGTAATGATTTTAGTAAAATGAACGCTAAAATATATTTTTCTAATAGGTGATGAAATTTGGTAAAAATAGATAATTCTATTATGATGCCTATAGAAACCATTTATTCGGTTAAATTTATTTTTCATTTTCTTATTATTTAATAAATTTGTGGTAAGAAGAATTATAATTTTGAAAACCAGAAATTACAGTACTACGTTACTATATGAACGGTAAAATTACTAATTGAATAATTTAAATTCCGTATACTTTGGTTTTAATTACAAGAATTACGTATTTTTTTTTTAAAAAAACTAGAAATGTCATTATACAGTTTTATAATTTTTTCTGAATTTTTTTCTCCGTGTAGTTAGTAACTTGTGCTGTTTTAATTGGGGTAGATCTTACAAGAAATTGAGTTTTTTTAAAACTCCTTGTAAAACGTTAAGTACAGTGTAAAGTACTAGAATTTTTCAATTGTACATTAATTGTACAGCATTTGAATTTTTTATCAGCTGAGCAATAATTGTACTACTAGTCGGCAAAATTTAACAATTGCTTTATTTAACGCACGTTGTAAATTTATTGAAAATGTAAAACTAACAACCCTTAACAACAAAGATCTACAGCAAAATTACTCAAGTGTTAAACTTTTATTAACTCTAAAAAAAATATGCTTTTACGATTTTTAATTCTAAAAGTTTGAAATTTAAACATTCAAAGTATGGCTGCATAATGAGCAAAAAGCCAGCTGTTTTTCTAATTAATAAAACAGCTGGCTTTTTGCTTATTATACAGCCAAATGATATCCATTCTCTTCTTAAAACTTAACTACAAAAGGAAAATGATGAATGTTAATAAAAGTAATCGTTCTAAATTAGTTAAAAATTGTTAAACAGGTTCTAAATTTGACGAAATTTTCTTATGCAAAAGAGAGGGGAGGGGAGATTGCCTACATTGCTTAGATTGCTTTTTTTTTTCTTAAAGAATGAGAAAGATGAGATGACAATCGGTTTCATATTTGAAGATATCGACTGAAACTTAACGCTTTGGAAATTAGTTCCTATCTGATATCGAAATAATTAGTTGCTTAGTTAGTAACAAGTTAGATTCTAATTACAATAAGACTTCATTACAAGAAAAAAAGTTGATAAGTGCAAAAATAAATATCATAAGCAATTAACGTTATTTTAACCTTTGCACGTCGTACATTTTTTGATCTTATAAAGCCTTCAAGGAAATTGCATATTTCTGTATAATAATATCAACAGTTGAGATGTGTTGAAAAATAAGCGACTAGCGGGGTACTGAAACATCTTGACACTGATTGACAGAATATTTTCATTCATTCATGTAATGCTTCAGCAAATTTTCACATCCTGAATAGTATCATTAATAACATCATAAAACAGGATATCTTTGAGATTGGATATTGAGACTTTCTTTTTTTCTTCCGCAGTCAAAATTTTAATTGTCTGCATTATCTGAATACTATTATTGCGTTTTTTTAAATATCGATGGAATTTCATTAAAAAATAAGGGTTTTAAAGTAATTATTTTTTGATTGTTAACGCAATGTTTTGTAGAAAATTCTTTATCTCAATTTAAGGATAGGTATTTGAACAGTTTTAACTGCGAAATAATTTCTCTTGTGCAAACAAGTTCACAATTGAGTTAAAACAATACAGCAGAATTAAGGTCCTATTAAAAATCGGTAAATTAATAAAAAAATTATTTAATTTTATTTCTTTTTTTCATGATGATAAAAGATGAAGAGTACTTATCGATTTTATCACAGTTATTTAACTATTCAATATGAAAATCATAACTCTTCGGTTTTAATCAAAATATGTTTGTCATGAAAATGTATTTTCAATTTATAAAGAACACTGTAGAGAGACACTTTTGATCCATTAGCTTTATTTAGTAAATAAATATTACAAAATTCAAGTCATATAAATTACAAACCTACTTTTCTTTCCTAAAACGGTGACAGTTCCTGTAAAATAATGAGCTTTATCTTACCTTTCAAACGTGAAACGAAAGCCATCAAGTATCATTGCCGGTCATGAAACTAAAATATCTTATTAAATATAAATTACCTGGAAAAATGGAAGTTCTTCTACTTTATTTGAAATACATTGCGTTTTCCTGACAGCAATATACAACATAGTTATTTTCTTTTACTCCTGAAACTTTTCTTTTTCTGTCATGCTCTTGGTTCTTTATATGGCAATATACAACAAAGTTATTTTCTTTTACTCCCGAAACTTTTCTTTTTCTGTCATGCTCTTGGTTCTTTATATGGCAATATACAACATAGATATTTTCTTTTACTCCCGAAACTTTTCTTTTTCAGTCATGCTCTTGGTTCTTTATATGGCTTCTTTTTGACAAGTATTTCGAAATTAGATAATCGAATCCTTTAGAAAATCTTGGAATAAAAAGCTTCATCAATCAGTTAAAATCATCACAAATGGTGTTTTATGTAATCCCACATGTATCAGTCATTATTTTCCTCAACATAAAGGTTACAAAATTTTTCTTGACCATATCTTCTTTCAAAATAATTTCGTTTACCTAAAAAGAATGAAACTGTTAGAATACTATGAATTTAGTGAAACTTAACTTTAAAATTTTATTTTTAGATTTTTAAAACTGTTTCAGAAAGAAAAATACAAAACGAAAACTAAACCGAAAAACAGTAAGAATATTTTATAAAATAAATCTAGAGAATTTATTCAAAAACATAAGAGTTACAGAGAAAATGAATTACTAATGAAAAATATTGGTCAAATAAAAAGAAACAAAAACATAGAATTGAAAACTACTTTTGTATATGAAGTTGATCCTTAAGACTAAAGAGTTAGCATAATTTAACACTATTACATACCATCACCATGCAGCATGCAAATTATGATGTGTTCAAATTAATAATTATTTTAAAATGAAATATAGTTCTTAACTTACCTCGCATTTAAGCTCGTTGCCACAAGCTAGCGTCTTCTTCTAAGCTATATTTAACTGAATTTCTTTCTAGAATATATAGTGAGTGATTATTTTTGACATAGTATAATTTGAAACCCTACCCTAAAAGTTAGAAAAAAAATTATATGCAAGCATGCATAATCAATTTTTCATTGATACAAAACAATAGCAAATAAAATAACAAATATTTAATGAAAAAGGAATTTTCTGTTGCTGAAAGAATTACATTCACTAAAATCTGAGAATTATTTTCCAAATCAGCAATAACATTAGAAGATTATTGCCGAGGCTCGCAAAATCAGGGAAATAATGATGTAACAAATTTCAATTAGTATGACACTGAAATTTGTCATTTAGTATAGTTTATTATCAAAGTTACAATTCATGTTTATTTGATTTTTCTTAATTTAAAATTTCATTTTTGAAATTAAACTTTTAAAAATTTCAGTTAAAATTATTTTTCCTACTTTTATAGTGTTCCCAGAGCAGATCTGATTTAGAAAAAAAAAAAAAAAACTAAACAAAACAAAACTCACCTCGCTGAAAAATTGCATAGTACTTTCAAGTAAAATCCTTGTTTAGATATTTATTCAATACATCTTCGGCTTTAATTTCAATGTTGGGAAAATTATTAGATATTAATTTATTATTTTATTTTAATGTATATAAAAACATTAACAAATTAATAATACTTCCAATAGGAACTGTTGCTGTAAGAAGCAACAATAGTTCAAAATATTTCAAGCAATACATTTTCATTCTAATGCAGTCATTTTTTAAAAATAAGCATTCTTTTACAACATTTGTTCAATAATATGTATTGAAATAAAAAGAATCATATTTTGATCATCGTATTCTCCACCTTGGAAAGTTTTTTAGGTATTTGAGCACTTGGTATTAAGTGCTGAAAAGTTCATGAAAAATTGATTTTTTTTTCTTCTAAGCATTTATTCTAGAAATTATATACCGAGTTCATTTTTTTAACTTAAAAACATGTTAAAACAATCCGTTAAGTAAATCTCTTACGTGTTAAATGTTTTTCACATTAACATGTTCTTATCTTGTTTTCGCCTCTTCCTTATAGTGTTAATAAGTTATTTAATTTCGACTTAACATATGAAATGGGTCCTGAATTATATTTTATTTAAAGTACTCTAGAAACAAATTTTTTTCTCTTTTTAAGTTAATTTTTAATAATGGGATCGAATGTGCAATTTTTACTATGTAAATAAATATTTATCAATTAAATATTCATACATTCTAAGAACTTAGACTAGGCGGAAAGTGCACTTGAGTCCTTATCATTTTTATTTATTTATTTTCATCCATTATGTTAATAATTACCTCAATCACAAAATTTAAATTGTATTTCAGCAAAAAATTACATTTTAAAATTTGGATAACCGCAATGTAGAAATTAAAATGTCAAAAATTTAGAATGATAGTTTTATTTCAACTATGAATGAATTCCAACAATAAATACACACCCCAAAAAATGTTTATGTTTATGAAGCAGTTAACTCAAAATCAACGATTAATTAAACAAATATCAATATAATAAAATATTGCTCAGATATTTTTAGCATTAAAATCAGTCAAATAAATGCTTTAATGTTAACTTACCTGAAAAATAAGTATAGTAAAATTTTGCCTTTAAAAGAATAAAATAAAATCATGCAAAACTTACCTCCCTCATTTTGTGTTCTTGTTTTAATGAACAAAATGCAACTAACGAACAATATTCTTTTTTAAAAAAATTATGTGCATTGGAAAAGGTAAAAACATTCATTCAACCAAAATTAAAGTCTTCTATTTTAAAACTACACATTTTCCAGCTTTTTCATCTAATACAAAATCTCTTCATCTAAAAAATAGCTTAATTTCCTAAAAATATTAAAAAATTACAAGCCCCGTTAAAAAAAAAAAACTTTACCAAAATTTTTTTTTTTAAGTTGTAAAAGTATCTTCAACTAACGAAAACTTAGTTTTTGTTAGCAAGTATTATCGTTTGTTATCAACATAAAGACCTTTATATTCACATATTCCAATGCAGTTATGTGAATACGTTATAGCTAGAAATATATATTTTTTTCTAACTTAAATAAGACCCAAAAAAGTCTCCATATTCTTATTAATATTCTAGGAAAAACTTGTTCAGCACTGTTGGATAGCAGTCCTTCATTTCAAGTACAAGTGTCCTGTGGTTTCAAAGATGCCTCATGCTGTGACGATTTAAAAGTACACATGAGAAACATAAAACAAGAATCACTGTAGGTAAGGTGGTCCCGAAAGAAATACGAGTTCATTTTGAAAATATATATAACCCCATAGATTATTTTATATTTAGAAACTTAGGACAGAAATGGGTGATCTTATGGTTTATATTCCACACATTAGATTTTCTAGATATCTGGCAACTTAATTGTAAAAAGGGTGTTACTAGCGCGGTAGTAGTACTTCCAGCTGATTTTCAAGCGATAAATATGATAAGAATGATTTATTCCAAAGATTAAGACAGTCATGTTTTACAGTTTAAGACGAAAAGCTTCTATCATAAATGGACTACCTGGAGAGAATATTGCCAAGAAGTGCTTCCGATTTTATGTGGTCATTTTTTCTTTTATAGATATTTTTGACACATCTCAACATGAAAGAATTTGCAGGTGCTAAAATACGAAAACTAATTCAAAATTTTTTTCCTATACATATTTGTCATTACAATGTCAAAATGTTCAATTTCAACATCTAGTTCAAGTAGTTACTTTATATAACGGGGTATAAGTATACATTAGAAAAATTCCAGATCAAATTACGGTAAAAAGTACCGGTACCCGGAGTGCTAATAATTTTTACCGTGAAATTTATTTTCACCGAAACATGTTAAGGAACAAAAACACTAATATACAGTAATTTTTACAGTAATAATTAGCATAAAATCACTGAATCACTCGAATTAAATAAATATTCATGTAAAATTTACGGTATAATTTTTTACTGTAAAAATGAACTTTACGAATGATGCACCCAAAGTGCCGGTACTTCTATACCGTAATTTCATCCGGAAACTTTTTATCGTGTTTGAAGTGCGAGATAATCAGTACATACCCTCCAACTGCTACCGAATTTCCTTAGTTTAATAAAATATTTTTCCTAGTGTTAGGTAATGTAATAATATTTTAATAGATTAGAATTAAAAGAATTTAACTCACCACTTATAAATAATTTTAAAAATGAAGAAAAAATATAAATGGTCAAATTCTTAAATCCTGATAAAAGTTTTGTAAAATTTATATTCGTTTTAAAATTTTCTGCTTCAATTCATTACCAATTGAAAATATTTCATACAAACCTTAAATGTTGAAGGGTATATCAGTAAATATTTTGCCTAGTTATTGTATAAAATGGATATAGTTTTTCATTAGTTATTCTATAGAATGCATAGGCAATGGTTGAAATATCAATCACTTCATAGTTTGCCGGTTTGCCATTAGTTATTCTATAGAATGCCACTGCAATGAGCAACATATTAGTCATTTTATACTAAGCTTGTCGATGATGTTGCAGAGCTAGTTTTCATACATTTGCGATAAAAAATACAGAAATATTATTGTATTTTTTATCGCAATGGTTAAATGGAGAAAACTTCAGAAACTTGTAAAATTCCAATTTTAAAATAATACTAAGGAACTATTTGATGTAAAGATGTCACTTTTAAAAAAAGTGTAGCTTATCACTATTTTACCCACAAACACTTCAATTATACGCAAAATATTACCACTAAAAGTGTGATACACAAAAATAGTACAAATTAGAACCTTTTTTAATATAAAATATAATGGGAACTGAACTATTTAGCTGCGAATTGGAACAGAAGTGTTCACAACTCTGTAAGAACTATACACACGCGTTTCGAACATATAACAAAAAACAAGGACGTTTTGAATCACTATAAAAACAAATATTGAAACAATTTAAAGATAACATTGAGCCACAACAATAAAGCGGCATTATAAATAAAATAGAAATGATATGAAAATAAAAACGATAGAGGAAAAGTCTCGTGTAGATTTCCAGAAATCAGGTGAAAATGATTCACCTTTTATATCTACCGACAATAACATTGAGGAGATCAAACTTAAGATTGATATATTTTAAAAAATAAAATGATGTGTTTGTGCTTTTTAAACTGTATAATGAGCTACTGTATCTTTTTAATTCAAACTAATATTAACTACATTGATTATATTAACTTTATTGATTGATAGATTGTACTACTACTATGTATTATTATTGTGTATTATGTAGCAATACTTTTGTAGTGCTTCATTAAGTACTACAAAAACCATCCGTAAAATTTCTTTGTGCAGGAAGCCTTATTTCCGAGATTTATTTAAGTAAATCAAATTACACACATGATTAAGAAATTGTAAAATTTTTAGAATAGTTTTAGTGGGTTATTTTTAAATCTTTCAATGGTTTGAGTCTGAAATACTGTACCATTCATTTCCTCAACGAAATAATTCTTATATATATGATATTAAAATAAAAACTTTGATTAATTTAAGCATTCAATTACAATATCAAAGTAATCA